AGTAAAGACAAGCAGCGGCACGCACACAGGAAGACCACACAGAATAACATCTGTACAGTGTGGAACAAGAACTAGCCGCTCCAGCACTTTAGACATAGGGCGAGTAACCCTAACAAATTTAAATTCTAAATTTAAAATTTAGAGAAAATTTTAAAGGGTTTTAAAATCATAACTAAAGATTTTATAGTGCTACTACAGGAAAATTTGACGTGTGCAATATAATCTACATACCAGACACATATCAACGAGGTAGATGCTGATAATACGACAAAAATAACAATGTGTTTTTTAAATGTTAAATTTTAGACTGGGTTTCAGTGTGGCAGCAACGTTAAGAGTATACACCTGATGATGGCCGATAGAGGCCGAAACATGTAGTGTAGAAAAGAACAAGATCAAAGACATATAACATATATTGTTTGCACTTGGGATGGAGTGTGTATCATTTATCATCATCATTGTTGTCATTGTCATTCTCCTCCTCCTCCTCATCATCATCATCAGACCTCCAGAGACCTGTTATGAATATTACAAACCTGAATCCTTCCACTGTTTGAGAAGTCTTAACAAACTTCGTTTTCCTTTTGGTTGACATTTTAAGATTTTACTGAAAACCTGCCAGAGCTCATCCTATCAATGTTTTTCCCCTCAGTTTATTCTGTACTGTTCTGTAAATTGTTTTTTGTGGAATTTGTGGTTCTCTCATACATTCATAAATTTACTTAGACATCTCCTAATAGAAAGACATGCAAGCAGATCAACCATATTGTCACATGTTTGAATGACAACAGACAGGGTCTGGTTTGGCAATCAGATTTATTGAACACTTAAACAACTTGTGACTTACACTTTACAAATCACTATCACACACAGACTAGTGTTTTCAGTCACTGTCTTCACTGCACTGCTTGGTAATGGCATCCATTGGTGGTCAATCCCCTTCCTCTAGCTTCCCAAACTGTCCCTGGTTTCAGCTACCAGCAACTCTCAACTGACTGCCTGCAGACCCTCTCTCAACTCACTGCTATTGGCAGAAAACACCACTTCCAACAGATCCTCCATTGTGGCATGGGCACATTGCTTAGTGATGGCTCTGGTACTGTTGCATGCTTATGAAGCTGTTGTCTAGCTATAGGTGTGTTTTCAAAGTCATTCCCTAGCAATGGCTGTCTCTGCTGGCTTCACAGCACTTGCTTTGAGCAAATATGCCACAGATATGACAGAATTCAAGTGTACTTGATGTCTGATCTTCCAGGGGAGCATACTGTGATGCTGTTCATTATCTGATGGTGGCAAAAGTTAGGGAGAGACTACAAGTAAGTAAATGACCAATGAAAAAATTTGGAGATGAGGCAGAGGGTAAAATCAATATCAGGTGAAAATTTCAAATAGGTTCACAACTTGGAAAACTTAGATGACTAAGCTTGGGAAAGTATTAGAGAGAATACAAAAATTTCAGCCAAAGAGAATCTAGGTTATTAAAACTGAAGAAGTATAAGCCATGGTTTTTATTTGAATTGTCTGGTGTCTTTATAGTTACAAATGACCAGAGCAGCTGAAGTAACTACAAGACAATCAATCAGTCACAAATTAGCTACTCCTATCCTGTATCTTCCACATATGAATGCTGCTGAAGGTGTCTTTACCGATTCATTCTTTGCCATTTACATCCTTCACTGTCATTGGCAACAAATCACCCCAGTTACTTGATCGTGCACACCAATATGGAATTCTGAGGAAAGAAAGACAACTTACACATTTGGAATTAAGATTTTTAAATATACAATCAAATCCCTGTTCAATGAATCTCTGGGAAAATTGGGTTTTCTTAGAATTAACTTGAGGTTTTCACTAAATTGGAATTATGCAAAATCATATTAAAAACTGTTTGTCGTCTCATAAGACTTACTGCATACAATTATGACAAAACATTCTCTTTGCTAAGCAGTTAAATTAGCTTTGCATATGCAAATAAATACAATTCATAATCAATAATATCAAATTAATTTATAAAATAATTAATGAGGTATGAAAAAACCTCAGCTGAGATTATAAAAGGTTATCAACTCCATCCAGTAGGTGTCTCGTCGTCCACCCCCCAGGACCTGATGACAGAAATGAATCCAGTTTCCAAAATGTTGTGTTTTCTGGTTTCTACAATACTGGATGATGGACAAAGTCCAAAAACCAAGTAATTCTGATAGACTGAGTATTTAAGAACAGGGTGCTGAGGAGAATATTTGGACAGAAGAGGAATGAAGTGATGGGAGGTTGGAGAAAACAGCATATTGACCAGTTTCATAACTTGTACGCTTCACATTAGTATAATTAGAATGACGAGATGGGCGGGGCATGTAGCACAAATAGGGGAGAAGAGGAATGCATACAGGATATTGGTGGGAAAGCTAGAAGGAAAGAGATTAATAGGAAGACCAAGATGTAGGTGGGTGGATAATATTAAAATGGATCTTAGATAGGATGGGGTGGTTTGGACTGGATTCATCTGGCTCAAGATGGGGAGCAGTGGAGGGCTCTTGAGAACATGGTAATGAACCTTTGGGTTCCACAAAATATTGGGAAATTCTTGATAACCTGCGTGATTGGAGGCTTCTAATGAAGGGCTCAGCTCCATGAAGTCAGTCAGTTGGTAAATGGCAGGCATGTGTGTCAACTTTATTAGTTTTAGTCAAGAAAAAAATACCTCAGCTGAATATTGACTGTTGAGTCTCAAACTTCAGTTGGCTGCTGCTTTCTATAGATCACAAACTACCTGATCCATCACAACTGTAATGACTGGCAACGCTAGCACGAATCAACTTGTTAAGAAAATCTCTCTCTCTGCCTATGGTAAAAAAAGACATGACCCTAGAATTAATTTTTAAACAAGATTTTTTTTAATATTTTTCATTAAAAAGGTCCTGATATCAAAAGGGTTAAAAAAGCTAATGTTATAAACTGTGATTACAGTGAAGTAACTTAAACAGTAGAGAATATTTTTCATTTCATTTTAAATTAAAATCCTCATTCTCACATATACCTAATAAACACCAATAACTTTCTATTCTGAAATTATTTCACCTGCTGCAAGTTGCACTTGGTACTACATAACCAGTCCTGTTCAAACAACCCAAGTGACCAGATAACATTTTTTTTATTGCTAATGGGGTTGGACTTGTACTGCGGCCACTTCTAGCCTATTGTACCAGCCCCAGATGATATGATTGTGGAGCAATTGGTGGAATGAAGATGCCACGGTGGGAAGCCAGTGACTAACCGCTTGAGCTATGGTGCTGCCCTACCAGGTAACACTTAGAAAGATAATGAAACTTACTTCCCATGTTTGGACGCAGTGAAGATGATCTCTTGCAGTTTCCCTCCAGCAACACACATCCTGCAGATGGTGTGCTTCTTACGAACAAGTGGTTTCCTTACAATTCTTGGCCACTGAACATCACTGTCTGGTCTGGGGCCTTCACACAGAGACATTACAGGAATTACTGAAATCTGTGTTATCACTAAGCACTTAAAAAATTGTGCCCTTGTTTTATATAAACCAATGTTCACTTCTACATGGTTATGTGACAGCTTATTTAGTAAAGCAACTGGCTGCATACTTTAACCATAAGAGGTAATTAGCTCTCAGTCTTCCACAAACAGTTTGGCTGATCTAACAGGCGGGACATACACTCCTTGCATTAGCTTTAAGTGATGTGTGAGGGCTCATGTTGTAGTCAACAGCCTACATACTTTGCAATTTCACTTCAAAATTTATCTAGAAAATCACTGAACAGCTAGTGTAATGCAAGTTTTGCATTATGTGCCCGCTGATCATAATCCTGAGTCCCAACTGTTGTATTAAACATCCAATCAGTCACATTACTTCTTCTGTTGCACTGTCTTGTGAGAGGTACTCATTTAAACTGGTTTTCACATGATACCCATGTGGAAAATAAGGACAAGATTCTGGTATAAATTTATGACAAGGTTTCAAGTTTCAGCTTGTTCCTTTTCTGAAAAATAACTTCAATGTGTGAATGTGTACTTTATATGGATATGCAAGGGAATGTGTGCATAACAAAAAGGCCCATTTATACACTCACAACTCAGGACTACATGCAATACAGCGCTGTTGCTGATCTACACACTTTCCAGTTCACCGTTACACACGCACTAGGGTTCTCAGTCTTCATTAGTCATATCCTGGCAATGAATTTATAACACTCTCATTGTCAGTTCAAATCACACATGAAGTCTTCTTTTCATAGCCTAACTCATTTCTTGCCATTATTCTGTAGCTATCAATTCCAAAGACCCAACTCAATTCAATTCCTCTGCTCCCAAGTCCATATCTCAGCAGGCTGGTGCCTCAAAGAGCTCAACCCTTCACTTACAACTCGACTACTGTTCTGTTCTGTTGAACAATACTTTATAACCATTTTACAAGGACCACACAGAAAACAGCCTCTCTATTGTTGCAGGCTTGTTTACGATTTCTTGCCTAGCCATGGACATCCTCTTGTGGAATGTGTATGCTTGCACAAGAATGTCTTTACCAAGTCGTTGCATAGCAATTGGTCTATACATCACAATACATTAAATAACTTGGATGCATTGCTGAATAAACAAATGGGTCTATAATTACAAACTGTAGTGCAACTGCCTTTTTATAAAATCTGGGAAAAAGATAGTCTGTTTCTATAAGGAGAGTAATGTTTCACAGGTAAGGTAATTTTATTATGGTGCAACTTGAATTATAATGGCTGGATAACAAAGATAAAGTTTTAAAATGGCTTTTTAATAAAAATTATATTTGGACATTATTTTAGAATTATTAGAGGCATCAGATGGTCACACAATTTAATAAATTGATCCTTATTCTCATTTATACTATTATACCAGTGTCTTTCTTCACACTGAAATAGCTTTACCTTTTTTTAAAACCACATATGAATATCTTTCCTTCTTTGCATCACATCTTCCTTGAAAAGGTAATGGTATATATGACACTTCAAAATTACAAGGCGTTTTATCATGTGTAAGCCTAGGACAAGGTAGGTCATGTGGACACTGAAACATACAACAACACTGTAAACTTTAAAAAGAACCACAACATGAGAACATGTTAGTAGAATATCTCACCTGTTAACATCAGTACTTCATTCATATCCTTTATTTTCCATATATCCATACAGGTAACAAACCTAGGATGTGAAAATGGGTCCTTTGAAAAGAGATATGTATATCAAGATACATATACAAAATTATACAAGTCACATAATCAGATGTCACATGTTCAGTTGATCAAGAAATTCCTTGTTATGGCAGAAATCTGAAGTTAATCACTAAGGACAGTGTAGAAATGCCTCTTTTACAAAATATATTGATGAAATTCTGACTGTGCTATGCAATGATAATGAAGAAATGGTCATGATTTCCCTTGGGAAAAATATCTCCTATCTATACTGTGGTCTTGAAAGTGGCTTTTTTCCACAAGACTTTCCAAACAATATTATATACACATTTGCCAACAAATATATGCTATGGGTCTGGTTCATCTCAACCTCCTTGATTTAATTATGACTGACAATCTTGAGCGGAAAAACTTTGTATTTCATTTGGGAAACATAGTGAAGAAAATAAATATATATGTCACAGTTATAAAAGCAGGCCTATATACATACAGCAGATGTACCCAATTGCCACGAGTCACTTTCACCAGAACCCAAGTCATGAATTTTGTCAGTGATGCCAGGTCACATTAGTCATGGTGGTAGCCAATGCTTTCTTGAATATATCATGTGGGGGAGTTCTGGCACACATTACATATCATTCACAACTAAAAACAACCACCAAATTGATCTGGACATCAGTTATGCCAACAAATTAATCTGTAAAGTACTTGATACAAAATTCCTTGGAATACATGTAGACAGTACACTGTCTTGGAAAATACATATTGAACAAATTATACCTAAATTAAATGCAGCTTGCTATGCGATGAGATCAATTAAGCCTTTTATGTCACAGGAAACATTGAAGATGGTTTACCATGCCTACTTTCATTCTATTATGAACTATGGATTAATATTTTGGGGGAACTCTTCACATAGTGTAATAATTTTTAAAATACAAAAGAATATAATAAGAATCATTACAGGATGTAGAAGTAGAGATTCATGTAGAGAATTATTTAAGAAATTAAAAATTCTACCGCTTCAATCGCAATACATATTATCGCTTCTCCTATTTGTTGTTTACAACAAAGATAAATTCAAATTAAATTCTGATGTCTATAACATGAATACTAGACAAAAATATAACTTCCACCTACCCTCATCAACTTTATCAGTATATCAAAAAGGAGTCTACTTTACTGGCATAAAAGTGTTCAACAATCTGCCACAAAGTATTAAAAACTTGGGCAATGATACTAAAAAGTTTAAATCAGAGTTAAAGAATTATCTACATGCTCATTCCTTCTACTCTTTAGATGAATACTTCAATGTAAATAGAGAATGATGTAAAATTAAGTTATATTAATTTTTAAGCTAAAATTGCCTGTACTTATGTATGTAACCTTTTGACATGTTCTCTATCCAAAGGTACTAACCTGCTTAGGATTTATAGAATGTAAATAAATTCAATTCAATTCAATTTAAAATTTCAGCAATGCCCTTTTGAAATTTTTGCACGATATGTTACAGATAACAGGAAATTTGGATAGTGTAACTATGGTTAACAAGCACTCCTCTGCAGTTTGTGTTTCTATTCATTGTTGTCCAAATGCACATGCTAACAGTTTATGAAAATGGCAGGTCATGAGAAACACAGTGCAGATATAATAGGTCACTTCATGTGTAGCAGGAAGCCATTTAAATGTCCAAACAAGGAGTTACCCTTAGGGTCACTTCTGTCAAACCCAATCCCAACAATGGTAACAGAAGCTCTGCCCCATGGATGGTTCCATTCTTTCATCTTGCAGGTAGACAGAATGCACCACAATTGAAGGCATTTGCTGCAAAAGTACCAGTTGTTATTTGACTGACAATGTGATACTCACCGGTGAGAACACATGAGCTACAGTCGCTGTGTGGCTATCGTTTCTTCTCTCAAGTTCCAGTATGAAGTCCCTTGCTTCATTTGTTACCTCAGAAATATAAAATAATACAATAACAATAATAATAAAATAACTACAGAGTACATCCATCTCTATTCCTGTATACAGTACCACAATACCACAAAACCAAGGTTAACAAAGTGGCTTTCTGGGGCAGCACATTTTATGAGTCATTTTTTTGACATTCGTTAAACAAAAATAAAATTCTGCTGAATTTTGTTCATACCATACCCCTTAACTGGCAATCAATAAACATAATGTAAACAAAACTGTGCACTCCAAGCACCGGCACCATTGTCTAATTCTGAAATCTAAAACCGGCAGTGACATTGCAATTACTGTGACCACATATACTCTGCAATTATTACTGTCCCTCTGATTCCTCTTCTTGAACTAAGAATTACAATACCAATGACAGTTTTCTTCACAATGCTCAGAAATTTCACATCATTAATTGTGATGAATTTTGAGAAAGATGAGCTACTTTTAACTTTTAATTTATTATCATCTTAAGTGGCATTTAGACCCTTGCCAGCCATTACTACAATACTACATTTGTGTGTCCACACTTGTCAGCCCATATAAAAGTACTTGCTGAAATTTTCACCTGCCATATTATGCACATTATCGATTACCTTTTATAGCTCTCATATCAATTTCAGGCAGAGTCATGAAAAGTCAAATCTACACATCATGCGGTACCTCAATAATTTTCCACATGATTCCTGGATTTAAATAGCACATCTCCATCTTACAGAAGGGACAGGGTCTTGAAAATTTGTCCATGTCATGTAATTCTATAATATTAACTCTATTTTTCCACTGACTGATGCTCTAAGTGGAGATGCATTCCCAAAGAAATATTTTTAATAAAAATACACGTTTTACACATCAGAAATAACATGAGGTACACAAAAATAAACTTAAAAAAATGCCTTCATTTGAAGGCATCTCAAATAAAAGGAGCAAACTGCACACTAAAATAATATGAGGACAGCAATCAAGCTACCAGCCATCCTCCTAAATTTCTGATGTATATAGGCTAGTCTATGGCCTGCCACATATCCTGTTATGATGCTCATATGTGATCAAAATTTAATGAATAATAAATTATTAAAAGAAAATCAGTTTCAGTTGACTTTGTTATATTGCATTTTGTGTTCACAAAAATTTTAGTATTTATCCAATTACTGTCATGTTCTATAATTTTCATCAGGACAAGGTTGTAGTTGTCAGCCGGAAGTTTAAGTCAGTTACCATATACAGAGTGTCCCAGGAGGATTGTGCCAAACTTCGGGAGGGTGTTCCTTATGTTAAAGTATGCCGATATAACCCAAAACACCTATGTCCAAAGTTGAACGGTTATGGAGATAATGGCCCGAGAAAAGTGTGGTCTTCTGGCGAGTCTACGCACTGTACCTGTCAGCTGGCATGGCTTATCTACGTTTGTCCTTGAGTGTGGTGATTCACACTAGCCGTAAGCTCCGTTCAGTATACGTCGTGGACACGTTTTGAATGGGTGATAGGTTAATTGTGCAGAGTTGCTGAAATGCCTTTGGTGTTTTCAAACGTGGAATATTGTGATATGCATTTTGTGTGTGGATTTTGCGGTGGCAATGCATGTGCTGCTGTTGAAGAATACCAAAGGCGTTTTCCCGATCGAAGGATTACATGTCGAAGTGTATTTACACGAATTCACCAGACATTGCGTGATACTGGTTCTCTTCCGAGTGTTTCTGTGCACTCTGAAAGGGAGGATGTATGAATGATAAACACACAAGAGAACATTCTTGAGATGGTTAAGAGAAGTCCACATCTGTCCACTCGTAGAATGGCCTCTCGCATCGGCGTATCACGTATGCAGGTGTGGCGAACTTTACATGATGAAGAGTTGTATCCTTACCATGATCAAAGGGTACAACATCTGGAACCAGGCGACCATGCTCAGCCTATGGATTTGTCCCACTGGATAAAAGCTCATCCCGAACTGTTAAGCATCATTTTATTCAGTGATGAGGCGTCTTTTACCTGGGACGGTGTAAATAATTTACGAAATGTGCATACGTGGTCCCATAATAATCCACATGAGATAATGGAAACGAAATTCCGAAAGAGATTTTCCGTGAATGTACGTTTAATACAGTTATGTAGTCTGTTTATACCACTATGCGCACACAGCCATGTTACGTCAGCGCTTGCCAGTCATGTGTCATGTATAGTGTGCTTGGAAACCTAAGAACAATTATGACATGACGAGGGAGTATTTTGTACTTCAATTTTATGGCTTCATGTCACTCACAAGTTAGTTTGATGTTACATACATTATTAACATTACAGAANTATCTTATGCTGACAGTAATGTACCTACATTAGTGAACAATCTAAAAACTTCATACCAAGCAACTGATGTGGACAAGGTGTTGACTGAATTGATCGGGTAGCATCAGAGCAAACCGTTTCAACCTAATCACACCACTGTCAAACTAACTTGTTCCAAAATGAATTAGGCCTTTCAACTCCCTGCAACTATCCCTTTTGGTGGTTCAAGATTGGATGAAATATGTTTCACTGTAGGAAAAACAAATTTCTCCCTATACTCACCTTGAATCCAGCATTTGTGCCTTGTTCCACTATTACCAAATATCTGTTTGTCTTGTTCCACAAATTGAGGATCGTTTCTAAGCGAGTTCTTGCAGAAGGAAGTTCCAGAAGTGTGTAGGCAGTAATAACAATATCATACTTCAGCTGTAAAACTATCAAATGTTACCTATCTGCATATAAGTGTTACTCTGAATTTACTGAAAAAGTATAATAATAATAAGAGACACTTCATGTATTTATGCACTGAACAGAAACTAAATGTATAATATCTACATAAAAAAGCACCACTCTACACAGTAAGGTACAAAGGTAAAGTTGTCCCTGTGCTTAATTAAGCGCCACTCCATGAAGACATATGAGGGAAGAGGTACATCATCATTCTTTACCTTGGCACTAGATGGTGGTGAGTGATCAGCTTTATGCCCTGGCCACTATACCCCTAGAGAAAGAGCCCCAGGTACCCACTGAATAGGAGGCTCAGTGGGACCCAGAGCCTGTCTAGAAGCGGTGGAGGAAAAAAGATCTCTTGCCCCCACTGGGAATTGAATCCTGGCCATATAGCCTGTAGCCTGTCACTACAGCAATTAAGCTATTCTGGCTCCCCAGCCTACACAGTTACATAACAAAACTTCTTTAACCTTCATCATCGAAATGCATAATGAATTGGAAAGGATGTGGAAGCAACCATGGCCTAAGTGAAGGACTATCCTAACGTCTCAGTCTACAGAATTGAAAAAATATGGAAGAAAGTGATTGTGACCTAATTGTAGATAGTATCTTGGAATATGCCTGGAGGGATTTAGGAAAACCACAAAGAACCTTCATTGAGGACAGTCAGTCTAACACCTCCCAGACTTGTCAGAAGTATTATTGCTTGAGTGAACTTATTCATTGTCCGGCTGAGAATTGAATCAGGCACCTCACATATACAAGTCAGAAGCATTATTGCTCGAGTCAAATTACTTATCTGGCCATAATTTGAAGCGAGCACCTGTAGAATACAAATCAGAAGCATTACAGCTTGAGCCAACTTGCTCATTCAGAAAAGTTGCAAAGTTTCTCTTTATGCTTCCTTAATATTATGGTTTGTTCAACCATGCTGGGTATTAATATTATCTCTGAATTCTGCTTTCAAAATTTTCAATTAACATTCCTGTCTTAAAGTAAAACATAAAGTTTCAAAACTACATAAAACAGAAAGTAAAGTAACTTTCACACATATCTTAAATTTAGTTTCTGGAAAGCCAACAAAATGATTAACAAGTACAGGATGTACCCACATTATGGAAGAACTACATAAAACAGAAGGTAAAGTAACTTTCACACATATCTAAAATTTAGTTTCTGGAAAGCCAACAAAATGATTAACAAGTACAGGATGTACCCACATTACGGAAGAAATGTATTCTTAAAAATCTGTCCACACTGTAAACTTTCATAATGCAAACTGTATTTTTCTACTGATTTCTATGTTAACGCTGAGAAGTGTTCCAATAATCTTCTCCATCCACAACTGCAATAGAAGTTCTTTACTAATCTGGTAGGTACTGAGTAAAACATCTTGGATGGTGCACAATTATTAAACAGTGACACAGATCATTACATTGTGGGAGCATCCCCACAGCGTCTGGCAGACAACCATCACCCCTTTCAGAACAGTGCCAAACAGGCAGCTGTGACCAAAGAGCCACGGAATTTATAAACTCTCCAACTACTACAACTTAAATACCAGCTACATATATTTATAAACTTCACCGTGGACCCGCCTTTCCGTGCACTGCCCAATGGATGCCCACCGTGACAACTGCAACTTTAGCTCCGCCTCCTGGCCGGCAGTATTTAAGACCGGGAGCCAACGGTGCAATCAGTTCAACTCGAAACGGTAACACAGTCAGAGGCATCAACTCCACTTCTGTGACCGGGTAACTGGCATAGTCGCCGCAAACCTTCAGCGAACGCATCTTCCGCAACCGGCCAAGCCAGTCAATCCTACCGGCACGTGCAGCACTGCATCACCGCCCAGACAGGCCAGCTAGATGGCCATAAGACTGCCCACTACAGAGGAGTGAAATTGCGGTGGAACGAACTGCCCTTAGAGGGCCAGCCAATGCTTGAATATTATACGTATATTCTGTGTCTGTATATTGACTTTAAACGATTCAATATATATAATCATACAGTTTCGTGTGGTTTGTCTATTGGAGTATTGATAACAATCCCACAACATTATTATGAGAAAGTCACTACATTCTAATTTCAACATATAATGGGAACTGCCATACTGGAAGTATTACTGAACACACAGGACTTCCATAAGGCTGCCTGCTCAAGGTATGATGCACCCTAAAAGATGTTTCAAAGTATAATACATTGCACAATGTAAAATAAGATGGGACAGCAACTACGCTTGCAGCTGTCCCCCCTACATTGCTGAGAGATGTGTACAGGTCAGCCAATGGCCAGCTACATATTCTGCTGTCATCAACACATGCATATATGGAATCTGAATTTGTTAACAAATAATTATTCCTTAAGAAAAATATTTCTGGCTTAAGTTTCTGTCGTTTTGAATTCTGTGTTTAAAAAGAAATTGTAGTGTTTATCCCAAAGTTTCACACAGGCAAGTTTATGGTTTTCATCATAAATTTTATGCTCATGTTTTATAATTTCCATTATCGCAAAAATTCTGTAACTGAACATCTGAAATCAGAGGCACAACTTACTACAGGATGGCACATGAATAGTTAACATATTTGAATATCTGACAATAAAACTATTTATTGTTCATATGATATAGAGTTTCTGGAGCTTGGTGTTTAAAATTTTGAGAGGAGAGCACTTGTTCAATATGACCTCCATCTTGTCTAACAACTTCTTGAAGTTGAACACACATATTTGTGATGATCTGGCAATACATGTAAGGTTCAGTGCACAGATGGATAATCATTGCTTTCATTTCCATAACATTATGATGTTTAATGGAAACATCTCCTCCTTCAGGAACCACCATAAAAGGAAATCATAGCGAAGTATGGGCTAAGTGGCAGCTGAAAATGTCCACAACTGTGATGCTATGGATAACAGCATGACATGATATAAGGGCTAAAAATTATGTTCAGAAAATCCAATATGACATTAGCAGTGTCTCTCTTGGCACCATTCTGCATAAACCATTGAGTGACAACAGGCATCTGCATTGCCATAAGTTGGGGTACAAAGTCAGTCTGGAGCATATGCAAATTTTGGCTCTGTTCAATCGTCAGACAGATATTATTCACCATGCACTTAACTGACTGACATGCAGCAATAAAACTGTAATACGCTTTCTGGTAACCTCTAACAGAATATCCAAGAACTAATCCAGAGTGGTGCAAAACTGGAATAACATGCATGTTGACTGGGTTCTTTTTAATCGATTTTATAAATGTGTCAACCATCAATACTATAATTTTGCCTGTGATTCTGTATGGGTATGAAACTTGGGTCTCTGACATTAAGGGAGGAACAAAGACTGAGGGTGTTTGAGAACAGGGTGTTGAGGAGAATATTTGGACTGAAGAGAGATGAAGTGACAGGAGGTTGGAGAAAACTGCATAATGAGGTGCTTCATAATTTGTATTCTTCTCCAAGTATAATTAGAGTGAGTAGTTACTACAGGATTCTGACGATGGTGTATAACACACTGATATACTGGGTTTTTGGACTTTATCCATCGTCCTGGTTTTTAAGATAACTAATAAAAACACAATAAAAATTAGTTATCTTAAAAACCAGGACAATTGATAAAGTCCAAAAACCCAATATATCAATAATTAGAATGATTAAGTCAAGGAGGATGACGTGGGCAGGGAATGTAGCACGAATGGGGGAGATGAGGAATGCATACAGGATATTGGTGGGAAAGCCAGAAGGAAAGAGGAAGACCAAGGCATAGGTGGGTGGACAATATTAAAATGGATCTTAGAGAGACAGGATGGGATGGTATGGACTGGATTGGTCTGGCTCAGGACAGGGACCAGTGGAGGGCTCTTGTCAACACCGTAATGAACCTTCAGGTTCCATAAATTGCTGGGAAATTCTTGAGTAGCTGCAGAAGTGGCCTCTCCTCAAGAAGGGCTCAGCTCCATGACTAAGTAAGTCTGTGTGCCAAACTGTATGTAATACTTCCAAAGAGAAAAGGGACATGTCATTTTATCTCTTTCTGAAACAGAGATATAGCTGTGATAAGGAAAGATTATGGTGCAACTCCTACTATTCAAACAAACTCCGTGGCCTGTAGTCCACAAGCAAACTATACCGACCAAGCGACTGCAGCTTGTGGGCGAAGTTAGTGCCAACTTTAGCGGATAGAGGGTGTAGCGTGGTCAGTGCAACGGATCCCCATGGCTGTTAATCTTGGTTTTCTAGACCGGATTCTACTACTCAAGGAATGGCAAATGATTTGGCATATGGGGCCACTACAAAGTAGTGCCAGACATCTAGCAAACTTGTATGAATATACAATGCTTCCTAGCTTAAGAGTGACATAAATGACATTCATTCCTATTGTGTGGAGGCTTCTTAGATTTTATAGCTAGAAACAACTGACATTAATACACAGCTGCATTTCCATACAGGTATTTTTCTTTCAGTGACCATACATCTAGGTATACAGAGTGGATATACAATGTATCAGCAAAAATGTGCCTTACAAAAAATACTTAAGGCTGGGTGAACTACTGAATTAAAGTTGTTCCACTCCTGTATTCTGTCAGATTGGATATGAAACTATAATGTTGATAACAGAGACATACCATGTGAGAGGCTGGCAGAAACTGTCGGTAAAACACTGCTTTAATTGGCATCTCTGCTTCTTCATCCCCACCTCTTAGCAAAAAACTCGCCAAGTCATTCATTTCTCCTGAAGAGTCCACATTGAAGTGCTCTTGTATTGTATCTCCCCACACAGATCTAGCTGCCCTAGAAATCAGCATCATTTTGGAACTAAGGGCATATCTTACAGTTACAACAATTATCAGCAAAAATGTAAGTTTCTGATGTGTTTCTGGAAGTCCATATAGCTAGATGCTAGGAAATGAACACCAGAACAGATGGGTTGTGTTCCTTCCTGTTGTGTTACGTTGCATGTCTTGTTTTCAAATACTTGCCGAGTTGGACTGGTTCTTTCTTTTATAATGTATTTATGTCGCTATCTGGTGTTCACTTCTTGCATTGCCTTGAATATCAGGTTACAGGTGTAGATGTATGTGTCATTCATGTGTAATCCATCTTTATATTCATTTTATGTATACGGTATTTTTCTAGTGTGTTTAGATGGGCCAGTGGCCAATCCATTATTTATTCATCCATACCCCTGGAGAAAGTCTCTCCAGCACCCACTGCAGAGAAATTGGTCTTGAAATTATGGACAATAAAAAAAAGTTTCTTGCCCTTGAATCCTGATTCCTTGGTCATTGAGCCTGTATCCTACGCACTATACCAGCTGAGCTATCCTGGATGGTAAGTGAATAATGAATGTTCTGGTCTTATTAGAGGTACTATCCTGACATCTGGATGGATGTAAGGAGAAAAACCACAAACCTGTGTCAGGACAGTGTCCCATCTGAGGTCCAAATCAGGCATCTCCCAAGTACAAGTCAGCAGTATTACCACTTGCTCCAACTTGCATGGTGTGACATTCAGATGCCACTCACATATCAAACCCTAACAACACCAACTGTTTCTACAGTAGCTCACCATGTTGCTGTTCCTACGCCCGATCCAAAGTCAAACATTGAGTGTGGCTGGAAGTCTGGCTCTCGAGTTTTCACTTCCGTTAAAATCTTCAGAAGGACTGCATACTCTGGCGCAAATCTTGACACCATATACAGCAGTGAACTGTGTTCATTATATACAACTGGCTTCCAGGAATACAACATATGTTTAAGGCGTTTTATTACAAGATTTTGGAATCTGGACTTCAGTGCTTCTTTTTGTTCTTCTGACAGTGACAATAAATCAACACCAACTGAAAGAAATCAGAAACAAAACTAGTCACATAATTTCATTCAAATGTAGAGAAGTACAATTACATTCAAACAATTTCTGTTCCTGCATAAACAAAATAAGTAGAATATTCTCGCACAATGAATCTTATAATCCTGCGCAGAAGCTTCTATTGTCAACTCTGTTCCAAAAATTAGGATTAGAAACTATTACACTTGTTTGTTTTGAATGTGACATTTGGTCCCTTATTCAGAAGGAAGACTACAGATTGAGGGCATTTAAGGCCCAAGGGCCAGAGAAAATACTTTGACCTAAGAATGAAGAAGTTCAATTACACCAGGATATTCAGAATTCATATTCTTTACAGATTTTAACACAGTAACCATTACAGTCTCACTGAATTACACGCTCCAAATACCACTGTAACTACAGTATATATAAAGTCTTCTTAATATTCACTAGCCGTTTCCTGGAAATGGATCTTAACATTGTCCTCTGCTTACATCCTAGCCATCTGACAAATATCCTGTCTTCATTTTGTCCTGCTTATAACTCTTCGGCACAGACCACAGTAGAAAACACCTCTATTGCTGTGTGTTGCTTCAATGCTGTGGAGACCTGTTTCTTTGCAAGCGTTACCCAGAAACAGTCTACATGCTGAAATATGTTTGAGAACAGGAAGCTTAAGATAATATCTGGACCTAAGAGGGATGAAGTGAGAAGAGGCCAGAGAAATATACTACTGAGGGGTCTTATATTTTGTATATTACTAGAGTGATCAAACCAATTCCTTTTTTAGTTTGTTATTTAGCAATACTGGCAGTACTGAGACTACACAGCACCAATGGTATGATGATAAATGCATATGAAGCCACTGGTTGAATAAGATTTGGCAGGGAAAACCAAAGTACTCAGAGAAAACCTGCCTCAGTGTCACTTTGTCCATCACAAATCCTCCACGGGATGACCTGCTATCAAACCTGGACTGACACAGTAGGAAGCTGGCAACTAAATAAGTGAGTCATGGCATGGCTGATCAAATCAGGGTGGATTTGATAGATTGGGCATGTGCCATGTACGTAAGAGATGAAAAATGCATACCAATTGTATGTGAGAAAACCTAAATGGAAGAGACCACTCATAACACCTATGTGTAGATGGGAAGATAATTTTAAAATCTATGTCAGAGATAGTCGTTCCATGTGGCTCAGGATAGGGATCAATGGTCATATCTTACAAATCTAAATCTTCAGACTTCACAAAATGCAAACAATTTTTGACTACCTGAACACCTATTACAGTGTGAAGGATGTGAAGACGCTTCCTGGGGCAGACATTGACTCTGACCACAACTTGCTGGTTGCCAAGTTCCGAACCAGGTTGAAGAAAATTATAGGATTTCGAAAGCGCAGACCNTAACCTTGAAGCTGACCACTGAGAGATTAGCACAGATGAAACCATAATACTAAAATCAATCTTATATACAATTATGAAGTTGTGAGTTTCATACTACCAGATCACCTGAATACGTGTTAACTGCTCAAGGATGACCCTGAACTCACATGGTGAGTTACAGTGGAACCTTGCTTAATGAGCATAATTCTTTCCAGAATCTTACTCGTAATACGAAACACTCGTTAAGCGAAACAATTTTTCCCATATAAATTAATGTAAAATACGATAATGCATTCCATGCCGAAAAAAATACTCAAAAAATTTTATGTATAACGTTTATTCAAAGAAAATTATATATACATTGTTAAGGAGCATGAATCATCTTCATCTCTTCTTCTATGCAGAATGAACCAACCTGGAATGCAAATTTGATTTGCAGAAAAGAAAAAAATCGAAATAATTAGTTTATTATTTATGATACATATCTAATTCTTTTTTACTAGAAAGCTGTCTAGAGACATTTGTTTCTGCTGATGCTTCAAAATTTGGTGAAAATGCGATGCAGCATTATCATTAAATAAATTTGTAGCGGGCATAGCCACTGCCTTATTAGGGTGATCCTTCTCAATGTACAATGCAACAGTTTCCCATCCTTGCAGCATTTCTCTTATTGCACCAAACCCCTTCCCACGCCTTTTCGATCATCTTGAGGCAGGCAAAGATTTAGAAGTGATATTTCCAAAACTCTCTGAGAGTGAGATTGGTCCCTTCAGTCACCTCAAAACAACGCTCGAAGAGTGCTTTAGTGTACAGCTTCTTAAAGTTAGAAATAACCTGTTGGTCCATAGGCTGGAGTAACGGAGTGGTGTTGGGAGGCATAAACTGGATCTTGATGAATTTAAATTCTTCAAGGTCATCTTGTAGGTCTAGAGGATGGGCAGTAGCATTGTCCATAACAAGTAAGACATGGAGTGGCAGATTCATCTCAAGCAAATATTTTTTCACAGAAGGACCAACCACTTCATTGATCCAGTCAGCAAAAAGATCACATGTCACCCAAGCCTTGTTGTTGGACCTCCACATCACATTTACCCTGCTCTCCTGGACTTTACACTTCTTGAAGGCTCATGGAGTTTCTGAATGGTAAACAAGCAGCAGTTTAATTTTCAAACTGCCGCTTGCATTGGCACAAAATAGCAGCGTGAGATGGTCTTTCACTGGCTTATGGCCGGGCAATGCATTATCCTCTGCTGCTATATAGGTTCACTTCGGCATCTTTTTCCAGAAGAGACCCGTCTTGCCACAATTAAAAACCTGTTGCGGCAGGTAACCCTCAGAACCTATGAGCTTCTTGAAGTCAACGATGAAGTTCTCTGCTACGTTTGTGTCGGAGCTTGCTGCTTCACCATGCCTTACAATGCTGTGGATGCCGGTTCTTCTCTTAAACTTCTCAAACCACCCATGGCTTCCTTTAAATGCTTCTTCTTCAGCCGTTGATGATCTGGCATCTTCTTAACAAGGTCGGCGAAAATCACTTTTGCCTTCTCACAAATGATGTTCTCGTTAATAGTGTCGCCTTGCAATTGCTTTTCGTTTATCCATATGAGGAGCAACCTTTCAACATCATCAAGAATACGTAACTGTTGCATAGATATTCTTGTCACTCCCTTTGAAGCATCTATCTCCTTAATCTGGTCCTTGTTCTTGAGGATAGTGCAAATCGCTGATGTAGACCAATTGTATGTGCATGCTGGATCAGCCACGCTCACACCTTGTTCTCGCTTTTCAATGATTTTACGTTTCATTTCTATGGTTATTTTTATTCTCTTATGGCTGTCTTTTTGTGGCTTTGTCTTCGGGGACAATTTTGCAAGGGTTATTAAACTTTGCACAAAAAAATCACAAATAATATGTCTGAATACAAGTTTGGAAAAATGTGTGATCACAAGCGACACTAGGATGCTAGCAGAACGAGTGTTAAACACAGGCTGATGTAGCTAGCGCACAGTCTAGGACTTCCTCTCTTGCCACGCGTTATGCGAAACATCGCTCATTAAGTGAGTCATTTTTTTACAATTTGTTTTATTCGTTATGCGAATTATTCATTATGAGAGGTGCTCATTAAGCGAGGATCCACTGTACTTAGCTTTGATACTCAAAATGTTCTGTTCTTACGTTTAGCTTCAATCTGTTGCTGTATTTCAATTCCCTTGGACGTGACTTGATCTTTCTCAACAGGTGGGTGCCTGCCTTTCAAATATCTTTCCAGTTTTTCTCCTTCCATTCGAAGAGCACTCACAGGTTTGTCTAACAATACAAAACAAAATCATAAACAACATGCAATATTTTAAAGAATATATGTGTATACATGTATACACACACACACAGTGGATTCTGGTTAACAGTCACCAGCTAACTGGGGCAAATCCTGGAGAACAAAGGCAAATCGAAAATATATCCACAATTTGTTTCACATATTTTGGACACCACACCATTTAATTTGGCCAGTAGCTGCCACATGGTGCATCTGTGGTTACTTGGTCATCAATGGCACTGACTCAGTATAAATGAACATCTAGCTACAGATGCTCTCAGTCTTGCAGTGGCTGAGTTTATGAGTCTACTGTGGCATGTGCAGCGATTTTTTCATTTAAAATTTCAGATCCCCACAGAAATACCTAGGAGATATGTAACACTCACTGACAAAAATGCCGTACTTGAAAAAATTAGAAACCAACCACCTAACACCAGTGATTGCCAACTGGCAAAGATAACTGGAGTGCTGAAATCTACAACTGCACACATTATGCAGCAGCAAGAGAAACTGAGAGATGGGCCATTACATCATGGACAATGGGGAAGTTCCCAAAAATGGAAGCATGAAGGTGAGGATACAGATGTTAAAGAGGCCCTGAATCAGTGATTCTCTATTGTAACTGGACGGGGTGTACATGTCAGTGGTCCAATGTTGAAAAACAAAGTCAGAGGAATCAGCTGGGTCATAATTTGTAACCAACAGATGGTTGGTTGTCTGAAATAAAATGCAGGTTTGGGATAAAATTCAAGAAGGTACACAGCAATAAGGGCAATGCTGAGGCTGGAAGTGCTGAATAACGGAAATCCAACAGAGCTGCCGAACTCGCTTCAGAAATTTTGTGCAGATCACCTACAATAACAATGAAACAGGTTTATCATGCCACACCAGAAAATTCCCTAAGCTACAAACATGCAACTCTATCTGGTTCAAAGAATGGAATGGTTTGTGTAACTGTATTATGCTGTTCAGATGTTACGAACTGGAGCTGTTGGTTATTGGGAACAGGGCTAACCATTGATGCTTTATGGGGGTTTGTATTGGTAGTTTACCTGCTCTGTATTGTGCTAACATCTGAAATTTTTAAGAAATGACTAATGGGTAGGGACATATGCGGCCTCCATAGTCTAGGGGTAACGTTCCCACCTCATGACTCATGGTACGCGGGTTCAAACCCGGCGGAGGTCGTGGAATTTTTAAGGGCAGAAAAATTCAGGCAACAAGTCCTAATTTTGCCAACAGGCAAAATTAGGAAAGTTTTCCGCCCAAGTAGTTTCCAATGCCTCTGGTAGATGGGGGAAGTATCAAGGTACTGAGGGCCGACCTCGTTGGCTGAACGGGGCTGATAGCACACACCAGTACCGGTAGGGTATGGTGACTGGTAGAATATCAAAGGGGGACGTACAATAGACCATTAGTCGTGGTGCATGAGGAAACCCACCCCCTCCAATAACAATAATAATAATAATAATAATAATAATAATAACTTAACACACTTAATAANTTACTGTGTTTTCCCAAGAAATTTCCTGTAATTTATTTTTGACTTATAAAGTGTTTGTCTAATGTTTGTATAATGTTACATGTAATTACTTTCATCTACACTGTGCTAAGTCTGTAATTGGCCTTGCGGCTGTTGACTTGGCACATAAATAATAAAGAATTGAACTGAATTATTATTATTATTTGGAGGGGGTGGGTTTCCCCATGCACTGCAAGCATTTGTTGATCTATTGTGCGTCCCCCTTTAATTGTTCTAACTATTCGCCATGCCCTTCCAGTACTGGTGCTCGCTATCAGCCCCGTTCTGCCAGCGAGGTCGGCCTCTCTGGTAGTTGTCCCTGATACTTCCCCATCTACCAGAGGAATTGGAAACTACTTGGGCGGGAAACTTGCCTAATTTTGCTCAGAGGTCTTCTAGAGACATGAGGATCTTTTACGTAAATCTACAACACGGGACACACGGCTTAAAGTCCCTCCCAGAGGACTTGTTCCCTCCGCCGGGTTTGAACCCGCGTATCTTGAGTCATAAAGTGGGAACGTTACCCCTAGACTACGGAGGCTGCAAGTATTAGGTTAGGTTTGGTTATGTTATTAAAATTCATATAAGAAAAAACTGCAACACTTAATCCCTTCCACCTCAGTCCCCTTGCTGTCAGCTTGGTGTCAGCTTGGTCCAGTCATCACAGCCATGTGTAGACACAGGACAGAACTGTGGTTTCTCCACAAAACAAAAGTGTGCCAGGTAAGGCAGAGAAACCATTGTGATAAGGAAGGGATTACTAGTAGGCCAAGGGAGTGAGAATCTGAAGCTGATGTTTCAGTTTTCTCAGTGGATCTACCAACAGGGAACACAATCTTGATATCTTTGTTCTCTAGTCTTAAATCACTTAATGATTTTCACACTCTTCATATACCAGGAACCAAATGTGAGATGATGTGTTCACATCTATGATTAAAGTAAAATTATGAAGCATGATAAATAAGTCTAGCTGTTTCTGGATTCTGAATAAACTGATAGCACATTACATCCAGGATGACTAGTTGGGAAATAATAACCTCATACTACAGATTTAGTACTGGGTGATAGCACCATGTGGATTTGGTCTGCATTGCTGGTTTGAAGATCCTTATTTTGTCCAACTTGAAAGCCATCACCCCAAAAGAGAATTCACATTAGCACTGAAGTGTTATGAATACTTGAAATCACCAATATTCTTGTACTTACCCTTAATAATAACTTTCATAGTGCTAACCACCGCTGCTGGAACTTCTACTGTTCTCGCTTTCATAACACCTGGATGTTTTCTTGGTTTCATTTCATCAGCTTTAATAAGAGCTATCAGTTGATCTTCCATTTCAACAGAAGGCTTGACTTGTGTTCCATACTGTGTGAATAAAAAATTATGTGTTTTAAGACCCACTAATTCCATCTTTGTTTTAAGTTCTCACTTTATAGTACACAAGTACTCCTATGTAGTTAGCTTTTGTTTGGATACGTTATTTCCATTTTGATAAACCTGTACCGCAATTTGCACTTCACAAGCTCATCAGTTAAGAGCAATATTACTGTATTTCTAGGCTAATACAATCCAAGCCTAAACTGTAGTACAAATTGACTTCTGCCCACATAAGCTAAATTGTAATTTCATTTTGAACATGACCCAACAGTTTGTTAAATCTTACCTTCCTACTATTTTTTAACAGTGAAAACGCTAATAAGCTAAAACTAATTTTCATTTTTATGACCAGCTTCACGTATGTAATTCAGTAATTTGTAAGTCCAAACACACACTCCAATTCCGACTGCAGAAGATCCTCAAGATCCTCAAGATTGAGACATTTCTGGTCTTTCTGGTGTTGCCTACACTGACCATACAACAGCCAATGATATTCGTGGACTTCGTGGAATTAATTGATTGTGTTTTACTCGGTTGTTGTCGTATATGTTGTGAAGCATATTCTATGAATTTTAATGTTTGTAAAATCATTGTATTGGAATGAACATGAACTGTGAAATTGTTTTAAGTAAATTATTTATTTATTTATTAATTATATGAGTGATTCTAAATTCGCGTCAGAAATGGTGGAACAAGATGCAAGTCGAGACAGCGAAAGTGATAGTGATATTCCATCAGATTTTGGTATTTGTCCATGCGAAGCTGAATTAGAAAGACTACCGGAGGTTGTAAGATTTATTAAACGCCTTCAGAGTTTCCTTTATAGGCAGCAATCGAAGCTAGATAAAATACGTAAACAACTTAAAGAACATGTAAGTCTCGTTCACATGCACTTTCACAAACGTGTTTTTATGTCAGTCATCTTTTTTCGTTTTGCAACATTCGTTTGTAATATGTTCATTTTAGTTTCAGTTTGCTGTGTTTCATTTATTGCAGTTTAGAACGTGTATTGAACGTCTTTTATGGCCATGAATATATGGTGTCGGCTGACTGGAAGACTGGGACTGTTTCAGTACTGGTAGAATATAATGAAATTAAAGGGGGAAAGGCTGGGCTGTTGTTCCCAGAATCTTCATTGAGGCTAGTTAGGGTCCTGGATTTAGTTTCGACCTGTGAATATATATCATAACTCTTTTTAACTAGTGCTGAGGTCAAGAATGGTGGTGTACCACCAGTCCCCCACATATCTTCATGGCATAGTGCTTAACCCTTCAACGCCGGCGGGAATTTAAATTTCTACTCAACTCCTATAACGGAGGATATTTAAATATTTAAATCGGAGAGTGCAACATTTCACTTAAAGTGTAATAAATTGCAAAAACTGGAGTTCTGTTTTTCTAATTTTCACACTATGTTCAGAAATGTATATATAATCGGTGTATTGATTCACACTGCTTTAAAATTATTTTTTGGCACAGTAAACCTATAAAAATGATGAATGATAGTATCATATTACCTAAGAAGTTCAGCTGGGTGTGTTAGTCATGAAAACATTCCACACAGGGTCCCATGTCACATGCAGGAGTACACCAGTACACAGTTTTTGACACAACACGCCGTTTCTATGGTTCGCAGTTGCTGGAATCTTGCTTATAAAATTTCTTTCTCTTAGATGTGGCACTGTTTTGTCTGACGAATGTTGTAACGCCGTGATGCAGGGGGGCGTGGAGGTACCCCTCCTTGCCACCACAGCTTACGCTGTAAGGAGTTAACACAATAATCCTGGCTTACCCTCAGCTAGGATTCTCCTGTTTCTGGGCTTCCTTCTCTCATAAAGCTGCCACCATCTATTATATCGTACAAAGGTTGGTGAAAAGTACCAAGGGCCGGTAGCGCGGTAGTCGAGCGTTCTCTGTTGGCTGGCCCTTTCCTCCTTGTCACCTCTTATTATTGGCATAGAGCGGGCGTGCCGGCTCTGACCCGCCTCTACCTGTCGTCTGTCATCTCTATGGTGGGAACTACCCCCTGACATATTGTCATAGCTCCCTTATCTGTCATTGCATTCGGCTGCTGTGGAAAGGTGATTATGGAGGGGTGAATCACAATCCCGGTACATCCTACTCTAACTACCCTGTCTATTTACACTCTTATTTACACTATTTACAATATTAACAAGACCGACCTTCAGTCGGGACTACATAGTGTCTTTACTTCATTCTACGCTTCCTCATGTTCTCCCTTAAAATAATCTGCCCATAAAGTTATACATATTAAAAGCCCACATACCATGTTTATCACAAAAATTATTAGTCGTAACTATAACGCAAATGTGCGTATCATACACACCACCAGTAATCTTAACACATACACCATAACTACAGCCATATTGCCGGACTATCTTCCTAGGCAATTACATGTTACATAATTATTCTCCCCTAAGGGCTCGCCGAGCACACTGGAGTTTGCTTTCGATATTTTCCACAACACTTTTATCAACAATAATATTTAACTACATGGCTTATATGAGTAAACGTGACTTACTTGAAAATAAGAGACGCAGGCCCACTTCCTCCACTCGTAAGGCCCATTTTGAATAGAGCCTCCGGCTGACAACTGAATATTATGTTTTAAGATCAGATCCCTATGTCTCCTGAATTCAGCAATTTATATCATTAACTTGCTGAATCGGCGGTTGACGAAAGAGGGAGGTTAACTCCCCCTTTCATCCTCAATTTCGGGGTCGAAGGTTTCCATTGGCTACCCCTACGGTTGTGGGTGGGCCCATGGTACCTCATCGCTGCGTCTTTGATAATATTATTATACTCCAGTGGCCCTGTTAGCAGAGCTTCTTACTTATGTGATTACACATAAATGGTGATCACCAACATTCTTAACCTAGTTGCCTGTCCAGGTGTTGACATACTAATGTAATGGCTGTAAAACACTTTTCGCAAATCTCGAAACCTTAAGGCAATGCCTTAAATTTCCAATCTCAAAATTGGCCCAAAACAAATGTTAATTTTCTTTTTGTCACTTATAGTTTTGCATATTCTCCCAGTTAATGTTTGTGCTGTTCTCAATTCTGTTATTTACCACAGAATCGAGAAAAGCAAAAACATCCTTTTTCAGCGTCTAATTCCAAATCTGATAAAACTTTGTTCTGAATCGGTTTGAAGTATATATATTCTCCACTGTTCATGACACAACACAGCTGGCCACTTTGTTCCTTGTGGCTGGCCTTGGCTAACCGGACTGCATTATGCATATTTATAGAACAAAGGGGAGCACCATAATTTTCGCATTTAATGGAATGCTTGACCTGTATTAGATCAAGAAACCCAAATTGAAATCTGAACTTGGTGTCAGGGTGGAATTTTGGTAGTTCAGAACTGGTTTATGAACTAAAATGGTTCATCTTCAAGATGACATTGGTCTGAGGTTAGAAAGGGAGGTGGCATTGTTTGTTATAGTTTGTTCCTATTTAGAACAGCTACCACTCCCATTGAATGAATGTATGGGGGTAGGCCTCCTTGGCCCTTGCACCGCGACCTACAGTGGTCTATTGTGCTTCACAACTCCTATTAGTATCAGTGCAGTGTTGTTACATGTTCTGCAAATTTTAAGTAGTACAGTGTGAGAAATATTAACAGTGTCTCACCTCATGTGCAAAGTTTGAAATAATGTAAATCCTCCCAAATATGGCAATTATTATGTATATGTTTCAAAACTATGAGAAAACTTGTTGCGAATTATGTGAGGTCATCAGAAGTGCATCCTCTCATAAAATGCAACTGCACTGTACTAGGTTTGGTGTTTTTCAAAAGTTCCTAGCTTTTTGAAGTTTGTAGAACTTCAAGGATTCAAAATGAGGGAAAATCGAAAGAAAAACTAAAATTTTTAAAATGCATGATCTCTGAAATTAGTGGATGTTAGTTGGTTTCCAATGGCTGCATTTGGGATCATTTAACCCAATTTGCTACCTGCTTCCCAATAGAGAGCACTCAAGTTCTTGCTTTGTTGCATCTCCTTGTTAAGATTAGGGCATTGAGGGAGGTGTTCTTTTCCCATAGATGATCCTGGCAAGTTGCACAGTGTACATTCTTCTGTTATATATTCCTATCTTACAAAGATGTGCTGCAAGGCAGTCATGTCCTGTATTCAATCGAAAATTTGCAGCAGCTTCTTTTCTGGGTTTCTTGCTGTTAATTTCCCAAAGCTTTCATGTTTCTGACCATTTCTTGTTGTATGGTTCTTTGTTGATGGTATGGAGTATTTCTTTACTTGTTTTAGTTTTGATTTTGTTAGCTAGCGTGTGGGCACTTAAGATTTTATTATATTTTCTTTTGGTAAAGGTCAATAATTCTGTATTTATTAGTTTGTTATAATATTTAACAGTGTGCCAAATTGTATTAGAATCAGAGATGATCATAAAATGTTTGTTACCAAATTGTGTTGATGTAGAAACAACCTCAAGCTTCTGTCCACTGGCAGGTTCCCAGACCCTGGTCAAAGAATAGCCAGATCTGATTTGTGCATAAAACTGGCAATAAATGTACTTAAAGTGTATCTGCTTTTAACTTTGTTACTTTTATTACCAGGAATTAATTAAATAATTTTCCTGGGGAGTAAAGCACGGCCGGCACATAAGGCTGACAACCTTACTGCCATCTGTGAGTCGATTGTCTACGTAATGGGATCCTCAACGTCTCACAACCCTATGGGCCTTCATGGCCTGTTACAGGAATAGCTTTGCTTTTTACTTTTACTTTTATTTTCAGAAGGTAAAGAAGAGGAAAAAATGTACTGTTGCAACACAAACAGAAGAAAAAGATGTAGTCCATTTAGAAGCTACACAAAGTTGGAGCAATAAGGAAGAAGAAGAAAAACAGAGTCTGGCAGAGCAAGTGAAGGAAGCAGCCCAGAATGCCATGCAGTTGACAGGTTTTGTGTATGAAGAGACATCTGGAATGTACTATGATTACAACACAGGCTACTATTACAGTGCTGTAAGCATGACAAATTGAGACTGTTCAGCCTGTAGCAAATGATTTTGCGGCAATTCTTCTGATCTGATTTTGAGGGCTCTAAGTGTGTTATAAACTCAATGTCCAAGCACAGTTTATAAGACTGTGTGATCATCTGGGTTATGATATTCTGTGATCTTATAGGTGGACACCAGCATTTTGGATCTTCTGTCATAACTGTTTTTCATATTGCTCTTACTTTTCAGGAGCTCGGATTGTACTATGATGGTAACTCAGGTTCATACTATTATTATGATGATAAAAGTAAATCCTTCCAGTTCCACTCACAAGTTGAAGGAATTCATATGACTCCTGCTAGCAGCTATGATGTTACATGTTCAAGTGGTGTTAAATATGAAGAACATGAAAGCAGAAGAAAGAGCAAGCATAAAGGCCATAAAGTGAGTAATGTAATTTTCAAATTCCCTTTTAGCCTTCTTGCTTTTTTGAACCAGTAGATGAATTTTCTTACCTTACCTTTTTACTGTCATTCCTTGCAATCAGTATCAGCATGGCAGCTGTACAGACTTGTCAGGGTGGAGTGACACTAATTCCATGGAGAAGAGTTCATGTGGAGAAGCTAATAAGTCTTCAGCTAGTCAAGCAATGTTCTACCTTCTATGTAATCTGAAGGTTTGCTACTCTGTGTTCCCCATAGCCTGTCATTGAACCCTGTGGTCATCCAAAGAACCCAGTTCACATCTTGACACCATAGTTCTTTAAGATCTGTTGTAGTATTACCTTCTAGGTATATGTGCCTATCTTCCTGATGTTCCAGATTTTTCTGCTTAATATTGTAACGTGTTTCGTTACTGAATATGCCGTAGAGATCGTTAATTGGTTTATTCAACAATCTACAAGAAACGGCTACAATTAATTATCACAATGTTATGGGTTTCGACAGTTTACAAACCCTACAACAAAATCTTCACATACTAATAGCGCGGGAGCTATACAAATCTCCCTGAATTACACACTCCAAGTATAACTGTACTACAGCACTCACTAAGTCTCGAAAGCACACAATAAGTCTTCCGCTCGCTGACTTCTTAGTTATCGCACACTCGCAGGCTGCTACCTTGAGCACTGTTGATAACACACTGACTCTCGCTTGCTGCTCAGCCGGCTTTTATTCCGTTCGCTGTTGCTAGTGTGACGTGGCGTATAGCCTAGGACGCTGTTACCCCTTGGTGACGTCACCGCTGTTCACTCGCTTTGCATAGCTTCAAGGTTGCGGGGACTCGGCTAACGTCGGCTCCGCTCGGCTCACTTTGGCTCCGCTCGTGACGTCACCGCGGGGCGATTACTCGCCTATTACGCGAGCGCTACGTTACCGCTACGTGCAGCTGGGGAGGTATGGGTCAACATGTCACAATATGCTGTATGCATTTTCATCCCTCAGTTCTCTACCCTTCTTATCTGTCTCAATTTGATGTTACTAATAATAACTTCAGAATATTAGGTGTGTGGAAAGAGTTTTTTTTAGTTGAGTCAGGTTCAAACTGAACAGTATTAAAATTCTCAAGTTTCAAGTCAAACTCAAGTTTTAGTTAGAAATCACCTATTATTAGGCTTGTATACTCATAATGTTGTATTTTAGCGTCCTGTTGCACTGATTTTTGTCCATGATATGTATGCTGTGTCCATCTTGTAGTGCACTCAATTTCACCTGTTATTTCAGAACATGTTTCGGCAACATAGTGCCATCATCAGGTGCTCCATTTACGTTAATCTATTGCATTGCTTGCCATTATGTCATTGTAAAATTATTTAAATATATTTAAAAATATTCATCAATTATAATAAATTTTTATACACTAAAATCTTGTTAAGATATTCATCTTATGTGTACCAATTCAAACCCGCGCATGGTTCCTCCACTATGGGAGTCGTTCCTCTTATACTCCATGTATATCATGTCTCGTGATGTGTGTTCCCTTTTTGGCTGCGGGTGTTGTAATGTCGGATGTGTGTGTGTGTCTTCATATTGATTTAATAATTTGCCTAACTTTTTAGGTACAATTAAGAATCAAAATTAAATTAGCTGTAAGAGATTCGTTTAAAGGACTAGCTACCAAAATGTGTTTAAAAACTCAAACTCTACTTCATGCTGTGATGAAGAAGAACCAGATTTGCTCTACATACAGTCACAGTGTTTCCTGCAGCAGAGAAAGTCTGCCAGTAGCAACTTGTGTGACTGGTGTGGGTAAATAATGTTCAGCTGGATGTTGAAGATAGCGGTACTGCCAGGCATTATCTCTCTACCATACACAAGGGTCTTCATGCCTAGGAAGTACAGACTCCATTAAGCATTTGCTAATCTGATCCTTGATATGTTTTTTTTTTTTAGTAGGTTTGTTCATTTTAGCAAGTTTGTCAATAGTGAGCAGAATGATTCAAAGCTTTTCTCTACTTCTCTTGTTACTGTGGCTCTAGAATATGCTCATTGATTTCTTTATCAATTAAATTTATTGTCAACTTGACATCTTCTGATAAAAATGCAGGATCCATTAATATGGCTAGAGCATTTGGTTTTTGGAAGCTCTTTGAAAGCTTTTAGCAACCGTTTTGCAAATGTCATTTTTGTGTAATTCTCCAGCAGTGTTTGTATTCTACTTGTTACAGGAATTACCATGGAGAGGGTTGATTATGATTCTCAACTTAATTCCCAGCATGCTCTGTTGATAGGTTGTAAAATGTTGACCATTTCGCCTACCATCTGCCGCTCATCTTTATTAAAACATTTCATCTTGCTGCTCAAACTAATTCAGCAGAAATTGGTCCCCTCCGTTCTTCAAGTGTACTAAACATGTTATACTTACTGTTCCATTAGTGGCCTCCGTAGTCTAGAGGTAATGTTCCCACCTCATGACTCGTAGTACGCAGGTTCAAATACCCGGCGGAGGTCATCAAATTTTTAAGGGCGGAAAAGTTCAGGGAACAAGTCCTCCGGGAGGGACTTTAAGCCGTGGGTCCCATGTCGTAGCTTTACAGCACGTAAAAGAACCTCATATCTCCTAAGGAGGTCACTGAGCCAAATTATGGACGTTTCCCGCCCAACAGCAGTCTCTAATACCTCTGGTAGATGGGGGAAGCATTATAGATACTTCTCAGCTAGTAGAGCCAGTCTCGCTGGCTGGGCGGGACTGATGGTAAGCACCAGTACCGGTAGGATATAGAGACTGGTAGAATATCATAGAGGGAAGCACAATGGACCAATACAGGTCTAAGTGCATGGGGAAACCCACCCTCTCCAATAACTAACTAACTTCTGTTCCATTGAGTGTCAGCATCCTACATGAGATTGTGTTCAGGTTTTCCCATCTTCTTTTGTATACGACCAAGTTTTTCTCATGTTTGAACCCTGACAGTAATTTTCAATGTTTGATCTTCCTTTTTGGTACAGTTTCTTTGCATCATTTATAGCTAATTGCAATGTGTGGCCAAGATAAGGTATAGAAATGCATTATATTGTAGAGAGAGATGATACCATGTTTCTGGCATTATCAGTAACAATGTACATATAGTGATATTGTATGTGCTTCTCAGTTCCATTCCACTAAAACAGTTTTCAGTTTCTGCAGATCCTGTGTGCTGTCTAGGAAAGTATGAATTAGCTAGGAAACATCTTTTCATTACAAATCATGAGACATGTAATGGACAAGTTACATAGCTTTCTTCTGCTCAGAATGTCCAGATATCTGTACTGAGTGATAGTGATGGAGCCAAATCTACACGATGGCGTAGTGGTTGAGGAGCTATGCTACACGCCAGAAGGGTGCAGGTTCAAGTCCCGATGAGGTCATTGGATTTTTTTCAGTTGACCTAATCCTTCTAGCCGCACTAGGCCCTGGGGTTTACTCAGCCTCTAACATAAATGAGTACCAGGAATTAATTAAATAATTTTCCTGGGGAGTAAAGCGCGGCTGGCACGTAAGGCTGACAACCTTACCGCCATCTTTGAGCCGATTGTCTAGACAATGTGGGAACCTCAATGTCTCACAACCCTATGGGTCTTCACAACCTGATATGGGGATAGCTTTACTTTTTTTTTACTTTACAGCCATCGCCTAGTGTCCCTGTTTGCTAAAACTGTTTCACTGTCTAGTATGTGCAACTTCACATATCACATACTTAAAATAAATGTACCCTATTAAAAATCACTAAAAGTCATTAATAATCATATAAAGCCTAATTAAAATTTCAGTATTTTGCTTGGGCATTGTTGTCCTCTTATCCAGTTATCACTGCGTTTGGATTAATTTTGCGGCAACATGGGTGCTATGTATATGTAGTTCCCAATCATGTTGGTGCAATTAACATGTATGCCACTTTGACTGTGTTCTTCACCTTGCCTCTTAGTAACGTTTTTGTTCCATGTATATAGGGCTTATGTGATCGATGGAAGTAACACATGCTATACAGTGAAACAGTTCTGGCAAATACAGACACCTGATGATGGCCATATACAGCCAAAACATGTAGTCAGGAGGAGAAGAAGGAGATAATGAACGAGTCGCATTGTGGAGAGAAGTATAGCGCATGAATGAAGAGTATAATATTGCAACAATAGAATGGTATAATTATTAATTGGCAGTTCCTCTTGCCTCTGTGTTGGAACATATTAAGGAGAGTCATTGTCATCAAATCATATATGAAAACTTTTTTTTCAGTACTGAGAGACCTAATTCTTCTTTATTTACACCACCTGAATTGTAAGATTGTTGTTAAATATTGATGTCCTCATTTAATTGAAATTAGAAGCCTTGATTGCTGTTCATACTTGAAACAGGCTGTAATTAATTGCTGTTCTGTGCATCGTTTGGTCATCGTCCATAGAATGCTATAATATGCACTGTATAGCAAGAGTTTGATTTAATTCTGTCTTTATATGATATGTTGTTGATACAATTTTTATTTACTTTTTTAGCGTGTGGTATTGAGTCTGTTCAAAACTAATTTTGCATTTCAACAGTCATACTTCAGAAATGATTTTGGTGGTATTTGTTTAATATTCAGAGTGTCTCAGATTCAATCCATGTTTCTTTTTTACTGCAAGGATAAAATAAGTAAAATAGAGCTGGGTGTATAATAACAAATCATTCGATGATGTTGGTAGAATGGGATCACCAAGCACATTGGCCCAAGGCGTAATACTTCTATGAGGGTCGTACTGAAAGTCATGAGCAACAATGTTTTGTAAAGTAACATGCTTTATTATTGACAAACCAAATACACCACCTCAATCTACAGACCCTTCTTTATTTTTCACATAATCGCCCCTTCTTTGTACACATTTCTCCCAGCCTTCTGGGAGTTTGAAAATTCCCCTTCTGTAAAATTCCGTTCCAGCCATCCGAAGACACTGACGCACTGCTTTCTGAATTGCCTCCCTTGTCTCAAAACGTTGTCCACACAGCTGATCCTTCACAAATCCGAAAAGATGGTAGTCGGAGGGTGCCAGATCAGGGCTATAGGAAGGGTGTGGAAGAACTTCCCACCCCATCTTTGCAATTGCTTCCAATGTGAGGCGAGCGGCATGGGGGCAAGCGTTGTCATGCAGGATGATGATGTTTTGTCCCGGACGTTTATCACGCAATGCATGATGGAGCTTGTGCAGCATCTGGACATAACAAGCAGCATTGATGGTTTGCCCAGGTTCCAGGAATTCGGCCAGAATAAACCCCTCTGCATCCCAGAAGACTGTGCCCATCACCTTCGCAGCTGATGGCACTGTCTTTGCCTTCTTTTTTGATGGAGAATGCAAATGGTGCCATTCCATACTCTGCCGTTTCGTTTCAGGCTCGAAATGGTGAAACCAGCTTTCATCACCTGTCACAATACAGAGCAAGAAACATCACCTTCGTATCGATATCTCTGCAGCAGTTCTGAGATGATGGCTTTTCACTGACCTTTGTGGTCTTCGGTCAATAACCGCGGGATCCAATGAACACAAACTTTCCTATAGCCCAAGATTTCAATCATCTCCTGTACTGCACTGTGTTCTATTCCAAGTTTTTGGGCTATTGTGTCCACAGTCACACACCTGTCATCTTGAATGATCTCATCTACTCTTTCCTTGTTGCGTTCAGTTGAGGCTGTTCGAGGACGACCGCTCCGAGGCTCATCTTCGATGCTGGTGTTCCCATCTTTAAAATGTTTCACCCATCTTCGAACACTGCTCGCACCCATGCACACACTTCCATAAGCACGCTGAAGTCTCTGGTGAATTTCTGCAGCAGGGATTTCCTCTTTCACAAGAAATTCGTTGACAGCATGCTGGCTAAACGACATATCGTTGTCGGCCATTTTGTTAGGAGTGATACTGGTCACATGATGCAAGCTATTGATGTCACAAGACACTCAAGGTTAACACAATAGCTAGTTCCACATACCACCATACTGACTTTCGGTACGACCTATGTAACATGTATTTTGGAGGTGCCCTGTTGACATCTCGGCAAGAACATGAATTTCCCTCACTGAAGTTTTTCATGGTTTTCCTCAATCCCTACAGGTGATTGCTGGGGCAGTACTTTGAATTAGGGCACAACTTCTCCCTTCCACATCCTTTCCATTTTATCTTTCACCAGCCATTCTGCTATTCAGTGTTATATAGGATGAGCTGCAGACAGCATTATTAAATAAACTATAAATAAATATGTGGCATAACATCCCAGAGGATGCTAAAAGGTAATAAAAAAGGTAAGGCTATCCCTGTAACAGGCTCTGAAGACCCATAGTGTTATGAGACATTGAAGCTCCCACATTTTCTGTAGATATTTGGCTCACAGATGGCAGTAAGGTTGTCAGCCTTACATGCCGGTTGCCCTTTACCCCCCAGGATGATGCCTGGTACTCATTTCTGTTAGGGGCTGAGTTGGCCCCAGGACCATAGTGCCGCTGGAAGGATTAGGTCAATTGAAAAAAAATCCACCTCATCGGGACTCAAACCTATGGCCTTTTGGCTTGTAGCGTAGTGCCTCAACCAACTATGCTACCACGTCAACCCCCCCCCCCCAGAAGATGGTTCTTATCATATTCACCAGTGAGAGCCGTACATCTCACATATTTGTTCAGTAATCGTGATTATTTCATACAGTCGCTGGAACCATTGTTGCAGACCTCAAAAGACGCAGCCATATTTTTTTATATAAATTTATTTTTGTTTTCAGATCACATTCTATTTTTTATTATTTTCTGATATGTAGCAACAGTTTGCCACAATGCAGATGTAGAAGTATCTGCTAATGAATGTTAGCAAGAAGTTTATTCCTTTTTTTCAGATTGGGGAAGCGGTGAACGAACTTGTGCTGGGCCTTTCACAGTTATCTGTGGATCAAAGTAGAAGGCATGCTCTAGGTAAATTAATAAATATTCATTACTGTTGCATTATAGGAAAGTAAAAAGGTTAAGCATGACAGATCATGTGAACATGACAGTAACAACAGTGGGACAGAGTCTCTGGAGGAAGGAGAGTGCTCGAATAGCAGTGGGGAAGAAGGGACAAGCTGTAGTGGTGCAAGCGGCATGCATGACATGGATATTGATCAGGGTAATTCTAGTCATTCATTTATACACATATCAATGTTACAGAGAAATATACATTCTTACATATGTGCAGCTTGGGAACTTTGAAATATGCAGAAGCACAGTTTTTACAATTTGTGTGGCAATGGATTGGAGAAAGATCTTGCATTCAAGGTCTTGTATCCACAAGCACTGAATGCTAAGTTTTATTTTTTAAATGGCTCTGTGGTTAATTATCATTATAAATCTGATACATTCCAGTACCCTTTTTAACTACATAATAATTGTAATCTTGAGATTTTATTTTGAGTTACATATTTAAATATATTTCGTGAACACCACATTTTAAGACTCAATAAGAATAGGAAATTGGATGCTTTGAAATATGTAATCAATCTTTCTTTCAAGCATAACCAGTTGTCTGCTTTCCCAGGTTCCCTATTAATAAATATTAAGTATGTGTGAGAGTGACTATTTCAGTTTGAAAAGAGAATGTGGACAAAACTTTGAGAATTTTCTCTACTAGGCCAATTTATGTGGTGCAATCCAAAAGTTCCAGAAATTTGAATTTTGCACACAGATGGTTATGAGTACATCAAAATACCACTAAGTGTCTCCCCACATATCCTTCTTGAATCAGTGTGGCAAGCAGCGTTGAGTTGAGTGGTTGGGTTTAAGGCTCCCACACACAGATGCGATACTCAGCTCGGTACAGTACGATATCTAATTACATTGCGGTAAATGGAGGTCCGCACACTGGCGCGGTACTCTGAGGAACACGATATTATCGCAGTTGGTATATCGCCTTGGTATTTCAGTCTACCGAGCGCACTTGGTATCGCAGCGGTAAATAGTCATGGATCCATCTTTGGAGGAAGAAGTTTTGCTTTTAGCTGTCGCTCTTTATGAAGACGAAGGTGAATCCCAGCAAGTATTTTACTGAAAACTAAATCTGCATAGTTCTTTTCCTCCACATATTCAGTATGTCACATATATGTACAAATATTTACAATTCCATAACGAGTCTCTAATTAAGTATGTATAAGTGGTTGCTATGTGTGTTCCTATTTTAGGCGAAAGAGACGAATCGCTTGGGTTCATGATATAAACTTGTCAAGAGAGGAACTGGGGGAGTTTTATACACTTCTGAACTTCTGAACCAACTTCTGAAGGACGAAAAACGGTTCTACATATATTTCAGGATGAATATTGGCAGGTTTGATGAAATCCTGAGAGCCATCAGGCAAGATATCACTAAACAATATACCAATTGGCAGAGGCTTATTCTTGCCATGAAGTGGAGGATTTTTTGATACCCATAGAACTGAAAGAAGGAAATATAAAACACACTGTATCAGCAGCATGTTTGCTTCATAATTTTCTACGTCTCAAAAACCGTGATGAAAAGTACAGGGAAGAACTGCTACGAGTGGAGCCATTAGAAGGAGAAATGTTCCCTATCCAACCTTTACGTCTCCCAAGGGCGGCAAACGTTAGTTACGCCATTAGAGAGAGGTTTGCTGCGTGCTTCAACTAGATGACTGCCCCTGGAATTCGTGTTAGTGAACGGAACTGGTGCATAGCCTACATAAAGAATGTCCACAGTTACACTATACTTAACCCTATATAAATATATACAAATTTTTCTATGTAACAGCCAGTTCCTTCCACTTTCTATCCTTAGCGCGTGAATCCTTGTACATAGAATGACGAGTATCGTACAATAAAGCATTTTCTTTGACAAACTCTATTATTTGTTCCATTTGGCTACCCATGTCATTTCACGTACGTATAGATACTGATTGAGTGTGAGTCATGGCCAGCTGGTTATCGGGTGTCAAAGATTCCCGAGTTCCCAAGTGTCGCGTCTGTGTGCGCAGACCACTCGGTAAACAGCCGTTTTCGTCCCGAATCGTATCACGTCTGTGTGTGGGAGCCTTTATTGTTTGTGAACGTATTTCCATTGTTGTGTTTCCGTGAGTTTGCGGGTTTGCGATGGCTGACCTGGGAGAGCAGCATGTCTGTATAAAGTTTTGTTTTAAACTTGGGAAAACCGCAGCAGAAACGCACCAAATGTTGAAGCAAGCTTTTGGTGACAACATTTTAGGCCAGACACAAACTTACAACTGGTATCAGCATTTCAAAAATGGCTGAACATCGACTGATGATGATGATCATTTGGGACGGCCATCAACTGGCACCACACCAGAAAATGTTGCGAAACTTTGGGATATGATTCTGCAGGATCATAGACTGACCATCCAAGACCTCTATAACACCTTGGGACTAAGTTATGGTACATGCCACTGAATTTTGTCAGAGGAACTGAACATGAGGAGGATTGCAGCGAAGTTGGTGCCACGACTGCTGCAAAATGAACAGAAGCAGCATCGCTTGGAAGTCTGCAGGGAACTTCAACAACAGCTTCAAGAGGATCCAAACTTTCTTTCGAAGGTTGTCACTGGTGACAAAAATTGGGTTCATGGCTACGACTGTGAAAGTAAACAGCAATCGTCGCAATGGAAGAGCCCTTCTTCACCTCAGCCAAAAAAAGCTCGACAAGTCAAGAGCAACATTAAGTCCATGTTGATCTGTTTTTTTTATATTGACGGGATTGTTCATAAGGAGTTCGTCCCTCCTGGGACGAGTTCTATTGCGATGTTCTAAGGCGTTTGAGGGAGGACATGAGGAGAAAACTTCCAGAGAAGTGGCGCACAAACAACTGGGTACTCCACCATGACAACGCACAACCGCACACGGCTTACGTTGTGCAGGGATTGTTGGCTAAAAACAAGATGGCAGTTGAAGAAAGCAGTCTTCTGGGATTTGGCACCGTGTATATGTGGTGCCCAAATCCCAGAAGACTGCTTTCTTCATAGTCACCGCCGTGAAAGCCTCAAATCTTACAAGATGGCAGTTGTTCCCCACCCACCGTACTTGCCAGACTTAGCTCCATGCAACTTCTTTCTCTTCCCCATGGTCAGAATCAAGTTGAAGGGGTGAAGATTTGATACAGTTGAGGAAATTCAAGGGGAAACACAGACCGTATTAAACACCCTAACAAAGAAAGACTTCCAGGATGCATTTCAAAAGTGGCAGAAATGCTGGAGTTGGTGTATGCGCTCCCAAGGAGACTACTTTGAAGGTGATGGAGCAGAATAAGATCCAGGTAAGATGTAATAGTTTTTATTAATATATTTCGGGAACTTTTAAATTGCACCACGTACAACACCAGCTACATTTTCACAGTGTGCTAAAGTATGCTACTTATTTCTTTTGGCAGAGAAGGATATGCTGCGAGGAAATGGGAGAGAGGCAGATTTTGAGAAATTGATTCCCACTGGCTTTTGCAACCATTACACTTTTGGTAGATTGTTTATGTTGCATGCTACCACACAATGGAAAACCAGTTATCTGAAAATGCTTGAAGTTTGAGACTTACAAATCAAAGTTTGGATCAAGCATTTTCTTGTGAAAAGTGAAAAGAAGAGGCTGTGTTTGATTTACATGCAGATATTGTTTGCTAGTACTCATGACAGCACTTATTATGATCACAGTTCCACTGCTTTTTCTGCGGGTGAAGGAACAAGTGAAGAAATTGACTTGGACTTATATCCATACGTGTAATAACAAAATTCGAGTTCTTGTCTTGTAGTAACCAGAATCTCATTAATTTTCATATTTTTCAAACATCATTAACAGACTGTAATTCGATCATGATCAGTAAAGTGGCTTCTTAAATGCTATGAATTCTCAGGAATTAAAGAACTTGTGGCAAAATCATAGTGAATGTTGCCATGCAAGACCTGCTATATGCCCTGCAGCTTATTGTCTACAGTCTGGAGGAGCAGAGAATGGCTAGTAGAGTCCTTAGTATAATTTTTTTTTTTTTTGCAAAATCTGAGAAGCATAAATTCAAACATCTTTGTTCTTCAGGAGTTTTTTAAAAACATATTATTAGCACCCTGTACCTAATATTAAGAACTTAAATTTGTTTTTATTTTATATAAAGAGTGCATAAGATTAAAGATGAAGTTATTTTATCTTGTAAATACAAGGTGGTTCAATTATGACCGGGACTGATTTTTTTTTAACCAAAATTGCCAAACACTTACTTGCACATGTCAGTCTTCAACGTACTCCCCTCTGGAGTCAACACATTTTTTTCAGCGTTCTGGAAGCATCCTGATGCCCTTTTCAAAAATGTTTTGTGGTTGGTGGCGTATCCACTCCCGAACATTCTGGATGACGGCGTCGTCCACAAACCGCATGACTTGCAAGTCTGATTTGAGCCTTCCGAACAGGTAGAAATCACTTGGTGCCAAATCAGGACTGTACGGCGGATGTGTCAGAAGGTTCCATTTCAATTTCCGGAGGGTTTCCATTGTTGTTTTGGCCATATGGGGGCGTGCATTGTCTTGAAGGAAGGCTACCCGCTTTCCACCTCTCTTCCGCTTGGATCGGATCTTTTCCTTCACGTCTGTTGCCAGGAGGTCTGTGTAATAAGCTGCATTGACTGTTCTGGCATCTGTCAGAAAGTCTACATGGATAACCCCCTGCCAGTCCCAGAAGAACGTTGCCATCAGTTTTCCTGCCGAACAGCTCCTCTGCGCTCTCTTGGGTTTGGGAGAACTGGTATGCCACCACTCACGTGATGACTGCTGGGACTCGGGAATGAAGTAGTGCACCCACGTTTCATCGGTGGTCACTATAGACTTCAAAAATGCATCATCTTCATCTTCAAACTGCTGTAGGAGACAACTGGCAACTTGCATGCGCACCATTTTGTTCACATCCATCAAAGTGAGTGGTACCCACCGTGCATTCACCTTGCAATAGTGCAGGTGGTATTTCATGATGTCTTCTACACTACCAACACTGATGGACAGCATTGCTCCAAGTTCCTTGATAGTGATGCGTTTCTTCTCATGAATAAGTGTGTCTGCATGATCAATGTTTGGCTTGGTGACGGATGTTCGCGGCCAACGATCATGCGGTTCATTCTCCACGCGCTCTCTGCCCTCTCTGAAGCACTTGCACCACTCAAACACATGGGTCCGTGAGAGACACTCTTCCCCACACTGTTGTTGGAGTCTGTGGTTTTCTCCAACGAGGAATTTGATCACAATGCGTTGTTCCACGCTCCACGGTACCTTCTGTTCACTCATCACTCTAGCAACTTCCAGACAAGACTGAACAGGTTCTAACCCTAACAGGAGGGAGGGTGGAGGTTGTGGCTTCACTCTCTCAAGGTCGCACAGCTGCCGCGCAGTGCGGCTTGTTTACAAAGAAATCAGTCCCGGTCATATTTGAACCACCTAGTAATTGGTCTGAGAATTGCCCTCCTTCCATAAATAATCATTATATCTCATTATAGACATCTTGAGGCAGAAAATTGTTAGATATATGCATGTTAAGTTACTGCTGTTAATAATCCTTTTTTTTTTTTTCAGAGGTCTCAAAAGCTTGGCCACCATGCATTAGGATCATTGTTAAAGAAACCAATATTGAACAATTAAAAATTGGCACTCTCTTTATTGTTACCTGCACTGGTGGAACAGTGGGCCGGGAAGGAGATCATGCTGTATCCATTCCAGACATCAATATCAGTAAAGTGAGTATGCATCTTTCTTCTTTGCTGTTTTTGTTATAGTAAACCTGCTAACATGGTTATGAAGAAGTCATGTAGAACTAAATGAAACATGTGTTGTCAACCTTTTGCCATAGTACAACGAAATCCTGAGTTAGTGTACTTGGATTTAGTGATGCTCCGTATTCAGTCAATATTTCATCTGGTTGTAGGCAAAGTCCTATATAAACAATGTATCACTCCATATCTAGTGAATTTTGATCTATTAAACAACCTGTATTTATTGTAAGAAATATTTGACATTCCAAAACTCTTACCTGGATTTAGTGGAGAATTTCTTAAATGTCTTCTGAAGAAGGACTCAGCTGTATGGAGTTAATTACTTAGTTGTCATTTTGGCCGTGACATAGCTCAAGTGGTTAGTCGCTGGCTTCCCACCGCGGCGGCCCAGGTTCGATCCCAGGTCTGGTCAAGTGGGATTTGTGGTGGACAAAGTGGCACTGGGGCTGGTTTTCTCTGAGTACTTCGGTTTCCCCTGCCAATCTTCATTCCACCAATTCCTCCACAATCACCCTCACCTATCATCTGGGGCTGGTACAATAGGCCAGAAGTGGCCACAGGGACTTGGTCCCACCCCACTAGGAATAAAAAGAAGTTGTCATTTGCTATCTTTTTTTGTAAAGTATTTCTTTATATCTTTTCAGCATCATGCTAAATTCACATTTGATGAGGCATTAGGAAAATATTACGTGATTGACTATGGTAGTCGTAATGGCACTTTCCTGAATGGGAAACGCCTGTCGGTGGCAAAGCAGGAGAGTGATCCCCATGAGGTGATTCATGGAAGTTTGCTTCAAGTTGGGGGCACAAAACTACTGTGCCACATCCATGCAGGACAGGAAACATGTGGTCACTGCGAGCCAGGGCTTGTGCAGCAGGCAAATGTAACACCAGGTAAACAAGCATCATGCATCATATTGCTGTATTGTGGTCATGTGGATCAAGTACAGTGGAAGTCAGTTGTCACGAAAATTCGTACAAGTATGAACAGGTGATGTTATAATGAATACTCATTATAGGCAGTTTAGAACATGGAAATGTAGAAATTGCTTTAAAAATCAAATGGAACCTTTGCAGTTATCTCATGATAACTGATGAAGATGTGGGTTCTTTGTAAGGGAATTAACAGTCACCCTCTAGTACATGAACTGTATATGAATTCTATATTAAAAATGAAGCTGATGTCCATTGTTGTTTAATAACAGTGAATGTTCTTTCTTTGAATATTGTGAACACATGGTGAGAAATATCACCTGTAAGGTACTAGCTATCAAGCAGATGTGGCAGTTTTGTGATCTATTGCTGAATTACCACTGTATTTATGCTCCTATTATTTCCACTTTGAACTTTTTTCTCTCTGCTGGTGCATTTCCTTGAAAAGTTTTAAAAACCAGAATAAGTTATGTCTTGTTACTGCTAAAACTCAGGACCTACATAATCACATTCTCACTGCTATGACCAAGTTTACACACATTACTGCTAATCCCAAGAGATCGGAAATGACACATGCAATGTGCAACTTTTGTCACCAGAGATAATTACAGGGTCTTACACATGAATTGAAAGTAGTAAATGGACGCACATCCTTATTTACATGAGAACTTCTCATAGGATATGAAGATGTACATACATTTCTGTGTGCATCTCAAGCATAACTCCTGCATAACTCAGTAAATACAGAGTGGGGCGCAGAAACTTCCTTTTTTGAAGACGCATTGTGAAGGGAGGAGAGGTCACAGAAAAGTGGGGATAGGCTCGGCGAATGCAGCAGTCACGGAAGTTTCTGTCTGTAACCTCAGTAGGAAACATGAAGTGGACAAGTGAGCAGCCTGCGTTTGCTGTCGAAGCCTATTTTTCAAACAACCATTCCTACGTGGCGGTGCAGAGTGCGTTCTGTACTCACTTCAGAATTAAGCCCAGAGGTCCTGTTCCCTACCGGAAATCAATTGTTTTGTGGGTAGAGAACTTTAGGACAACTGCGAGTGTGGTGAAAAAATCATCATGACAGCGGACCATTACAACACCAGAAAATGTGGAGGCAGTTCAGCAGTCAATTTTGAGATCTTTTTCAAACCAGCTCATGAAGAAATGCATCTAGGAAATGTCTGGTTCCAACAGGATGGTGCCACGGCCCACACAGCCCGAGCTTCGATGACAGTTTTGAGGGCAAAGTTCCCCGGATGGCTCATTTCACTTTGAGGTGACATCCCGTGGGCAGCGCACCCACCTGATCTAACGGCCTGTGATTTTTTTTATGGGGATACCTCAAGGCAGAGGGTTTTAAACATCGCCCCACAAACCTGCTTCAGCTGAAGAATGTTATTCGGCAGGAAGTAGCCAAAATCCCGGTGCACATGTTGGAACGTGCAGAGAGGAACTTCAGAAAACGGTTGCAGCTGTGCTTAGAGAACAGTGGCCACCACCTTCAAGAAATTTTGTTTAAAACTACATGATTTAAAACTTTAAAGTATGTTCTTTCATTAGCTAAACTTAAATTTTGTCTATCAGCAATAATTTTTCTTTTATTCGCCTTCAAAAAAAAAGGAAGTTTCTGCGCCCCACCCTGTATTTATCAGAGCTAAAATTGTTTTGAGCAAATAAAACTAGAGGGGTTCCTATCACACAGACAAATGTTTTTATTTATCACTTCACATGTTTCAGTCCAGATAGGCCATCATCAGATGATTCTTGGTTTGAGCAGAACTTTTAGAAAAAATTAAACACATCGCATGCCCAATATGCGTTTCTCATAAAACATACAGCTTTCTAGATAATAGAATGAAAGGAATTGTATGCTGTCTGAAGGCAATAACAGAAAAGACAACAGAATTGTTATGCTAACTTGACTGAAGTGGTTATCATATAGGCATGAAAATGAAGCAGAATTCAGTATATCTTGATGTCTTTAGCATTATCTGAACTGAGAAGCTAAAGTATTTCTCATACTTACTTAACCTCTTGTACTCTCAACTGACTGCTTATTACAAGTCATCCTTTACAAACAAAATTATGCCAACTGTGCCACCTTTAAAGTACAAACTGAAGTTGAACTGATTTGTACACTGTATACTGTGTTACAGGTTGCTTATAAAGGCAACACAGTAGCCAGGCTTTATGCATAGTAATGCCTTTCGTTATTGGGAAATAGTGAAGCCCCCCTGTGGAACACTGAAGTTTTTGGATCTCTAATGCAGTGAAATGGCTGGAATTTGCTTAAGTCATTGGTGCAGCTGGTTTGTAGCATTGCAGATCTAAAATCTTCATTTTCTGCATCCCATATCTATGTCTGTGTCACTGTTCTTTTATCACATAGAACAGGTGATTGCATTTCATGCCTTTTCTGTGACATAACTATTTGGATTCTTTATATGGGCTACTTTTTATTCTTGCAGTTCCTTTTCATCTTTCCTATTGGCCCAAACTGCACTCACTCTCCTCTCCCCTTCCGATAGGTATAAGTGGTCACCTTCTTGCAGCCTGCTTATGTAACATGACTGCATGCTCAGCATACTCACTTGAACTCACAAAATGGAAGCAGCATACTCCTCCAGAATGTTTATATCCACCTCCAGTACCACGTAGTGTCACAACCAAGGAAAACAGTCTGAAAAATATTTGTGGTTCTTATAGCAGTGGTTATGAAAAGTTCTCTCTTCTGGGATATAATGCTCTGCTTGCTACCTGCTTCACTATGGTTTCGTGTTTGGTATATTCTTCAGCCCTGAAGATGGAGGCAGCATATTCCTCAGAAGCACTGGTTGCCTTTCAGTGGACTGCACAGAATTATATCTGAGAAGACAGAATTATTCACAATCTTAAAAGTATAAGTAGGTCTGTATATATAGCGTTAGATATGTTGTAATATTTTTCAGGTGAAGAGAAAACTGGGAAAGAAAGCAAAAAACATTGCCATAGAAAGGAATTGAGAAGAATACGACGCAAATTTGGTTTAGAAAGTTCAGAGCCTAACATCAAAGCCATATCCGTGCCTGGTTATGAAGACAGGGCACAGATTCGGCGCACCACAGTTGGTTCCCAGGATCCTCATGAGAAAACACAGACTGCATCCCTAGAAGAGTAAGACAGTATTGTATTTTTCTCAAACTGTTGTTGCATTGTATGTACCTTGTTCCATCAGGCTTCTATTCCTGTGTATAATATTTGTGTGTAAACAATTTTTAGCCATTTCCCTCCTTAACACTTCGTGGACCAGTGATTTAAATGTTTAAATCACCCTGGGGACCAGCGTTTTTAAACGTACTACCCTAACTTGTGCACTGTTCACTTTAAAAATTAATATAAAATCTAATTAATTTTATGAACTAAAATTTTTGGAGAAGACTTACCAGAGCTCCTAGAAGTGCTTCAGAGTGTGATATTTCTGGAAACATTCCCCTCTGTGAAGAGGCATGACGCAAAACTTGCAGACGTAGGAAGTCTTGCTTCTCTTCTTGTGCATAGCGCACACACGGCACTGCCTAGAAGGATACTTTCCCATCGATTGTTCGCTCATCACAGTTTTCACGAGGGTATGTTTCCGCATATCACCCGAGAGTCGCCCAGTGGGGTCCATATGAGGCCTCCATCAGGTGGGAGTTGATGGTCCTGGTCGTACTACGTCTGTGTCTGACGCAGGTTCTGCTGACACCATGAGGTCTGTAGCCCAGGCTTTTGCCACATTCATGAGAAATGCTTTATATTTCAAAGTTGAATTTTCGTTTAGCTCTTTGAAAACAGAATGAATTGAAAAGGGCACAATTTATAAGCCACAAGGCAACTTTCTTTGTCCATTTTACTGTTTTCCTAGGAAGGGAATAATAGGCCAAGTATTGGTCAGCTCTATCAACTCCCTTCATGAACATATTGTACTGAGAAATACAAAGAGGCTTCTTCTTCACTTGCCCATGTC